CGTGGTACATCCTGACCTGGCCACCTTCCATGCAGAGGTGGTTGAGGCTTTCCAGCATGGTAAGGTGAGACCTAAGCTGGACTTGGGCCTGGAAGTACTTTCTCACCCTTCCTCAGCCCTCACACTTTCTCAATTTCATACTAGACCCAGAGAATGGAATGAGGGCCGTCCTCCTGGAACCACCCACTACACCTCCCTAGAGCCACTGGGACTGCTCAGCAACCCTGCACTGCTGGTCTCCATATGGGGAGGATGCCGGAGAGGATGGCAATGGCAGCACCATGACCCAGGGTCCACGACATGGCCAGCTGAGGCTGGTGTGGCTCCTTTTCTTTAATGCCACCACAGTGTTGGAATCCCTGCAGGATTCTCTGTAGGTTAAGTGTTCCTCCATCCTGTATCTGTAGATCTGCATAATTCCCACCTCACATGTCCTTGGATTCACCCCATAATGATGTCTGTGCTGTTTTGAGCCATGGGATTCTGAGTTTCACAGTGCTGAGTTCTGGAACATCAGGCTCCGTTCCTTGTTCTCAGTGAAACCAGTGTGAACCGGGAAAATAACCACAAAGTACAGAACTGCAGCTTTAATGTAAAGTGTGTGTCCAGCCTATTTCCAGACCCTGTAAAGGACAGAAAGTCCCCCTTTGCTGGTGTGTCACGTGGGACACTCTCAGCACACGACACTTGCGAGGTCTAACTGGCAGTTATGCCACGTGAGATATGAGAAGGACTGTACATGGCTGGACAAATACTTCTGAATCTTGTGTCCACAGAGTTAAAAGTTTCGCCGTCATAGCCCTGGAAGGCTATAGCTTCAACAAGGGGCTACTTCAGGCTCTTCTCCTTTGTGGAGAGGAGCTCTCTGCCTCTTCTAGGAGTCTGACAGGTAACCTCTGACTGCAGGCAGTCAGGCTGTCTGTACCCTGGAATGCCTGATGATCCTTTATCCTTGCAACTTGATGAGCCTTTCTCCTTGCACCTTTCTCCTCCTTGAAGATGCTATTCAAATGCTTCCTAAAGATGTGATCCATCCTTACATTAGCCAGGCCTCTCAGTTACCATCCATATGCTAACCTGGGGACATCAGGGAGGCCAAGATGTTCTGGTGTTAGAGCTGAATCTGCAGAACAATATGTAAGGTAAGGAGAGCAAGATTCATTGTGAAGATATGTTCTTAGCGCATACCCACCTGTCCTTGCTTTAGGCAGTGTGGCGGTCCACAAATCTACACACACACACACACACACACATACACACACACACACACAAAACCATTGCTATACTTTGAGACAGAGGAACTGTGGGCTCTCTATCTCTCTCTCTGTGTGTGTATCCTATGTCAAACAGGCTTTTTATGTCAGAGTTGACTTCTGCCATACTGCCTATCAAGAGTCATACTGGGTGACTTTGTGTGAAGTCAGAGGTTCCTAGCCCTGAGTGTTTCTGGCGTTGAGTGCCTGGAATTTTTACACTGCATGTAAAATGGAGCTGAGAACTGAAATATCCAGCCAGGGCTGTTCCCATGGACACACGTAAAGTCTAAGTAAGTGTGTAATCATGTAGTGGGAGTGCTTCAGGACTGGTGTAAGTGAGCAGGTTATGTAAGGAACCCTGGTGCTCCCAGGAGAGGAAGTGACACGCTGCCACTGCAGGGATCATGTACGTAGTTCCAGAGAACATCACCTGTGTTATCCATCTGCAGAAGACAGGCAAAGAGCACTCAGCCAGGTCCTGGAGCTACCTGCACCAGAAGTTGCCATCCTTGGGGCTCAAAACCACAAGGGCAGAGAAAACCACAAGGGTAGAGACCCATGTGTCAATTCATCCAGGGATGAGGACAGTGGACAAATGCCTCTTCCACCTAGTGGAAAACATGTCCAAATGCTATTTCACATGAGTGCCTGCTCTGCTGTGTACATGCCAAATTCATACACCAGAGATTACAGTGTTCCTGTACTGTGTCCTCTTCAAGTCCCAGTATGATTCTGAGCATCATGAAGAAATGGTGAGACACTGCAGACATGCCACTGTCCAGAGATGTCCTGTGAGACATGTATCCAAGATCCTAAAAGGACTTCAGAAGACTTCTCCCCTTCTTCAACCAATAAAGGTAGCAAGGAACACTTTTTAGACTTACTTACCAAAGTGCTAAGATTATTACATCTTGATAAAGTTGCATAGATGATGTTTGTCTTGAATCAGCCTGTACCCATTCCTCCAATGATGACAGAGCTCCACGTGGGTCAGGACTGGGCATGAGGGCTCAGAGATGGCACATGAATTCCAGCATCTGGTTGATGAGTTTACTGAAGATGATAAAAGGAGAAATGTGATCTGGAAGGAATCATATGATTGGTCAGACTGAAGGCAGGTATGAAAATAGAGTACAGATTGGTCTACAAACAACATCCAGTGAAGACAATCCCAACTCATCAACCGGCCCAGGAACAGTCACTCATAACACAGTGAAGCTGTGCTGCATTTATGACCACAGCAAACATGGTGAAGAGTTGAGAAGCCCTGAGACTGTAGTGAGAAGTAAGCCAGCTCTGGACCAGGCTTGCTCTCCTTTTCCCTATCCCATTCCTTCCACGGTAGAACAGTGTGGTACATCATGACTACTGATTCAGGACTGTGGGAACCTGGCCTGTCTCACCATGCACAGACACCTTGACGTCAGGAAAAGCCCACAAACCAGTCCGCTTCTATCCATCGTACATGCCAGCTGACAGCTCACGGCAACAGCATCCAGGCTTCCTTCTGTCCCAGAACCTGGTGGAGAGCAAGGGATCAGCAGAGGGGAACATGGCATCTGCCAGGAGGTAGCAAGCACATGAGACAAAAAGGACGCTAGAAGGAAAGGTTGATGAAAAGTTAGCTACAAGTGAATGACCATTCATGAGATCTAGTGCTGGTAGCTTGTGTTAACAGTCTGTGGGAATGTCAAGGATTTTAGATTTGTCTTTCAGCCCTGGGTATGTGTGAAACCTGAACGTGGAATTCTTTGAACTCTGCCTGGCCAGTCCTAAATTCAGCCTTCTATGGAAAAGTGTCCAGGCTTCTCAGTACCAAATGAGTACTCCAAAATTTAGCTTGCCACAGTACTTCACATCTCTGAACGTATCACAGTTCAAAGATACATCAAGATGTATACATACAGATGTATACATCTGCATACAGCAAGATGGGAATTCCCTAACATTTAAAACTTACTGTGTTTCTCTTGAAACCCTCAGGCCCAGGTCTGGGAGTTTCCCTGAAGATTCAGCCCATAACTACCACTTTGCATATGGGCAAGGACTCTTTTCACAAGTCACTTGCCAGTGCTACTTGCCCATCAGACAGGACTAGTGGGATGGTCTTCCTAACAAGCCCCCAAGGAGAATGATGTAGGCAGCCCACTAAAAGCAACCAGGTCATTGCCAGGAGACAGGAAAAGGACGACCAGTCCACATGTGTCAGGAGCAACTGACAAAGACCAGAAAGGTGGAGGAAAG